CCTGGGCCTAGAGCAGGAACTGGGCACTGCTTGGCAGCTGGAATGAACCCAACCCTCTACAGCTTACATGAAGGGGTCAGACCCATCAGCTCAAAGTTAGGGGCTACTATGCTCATTTTACAATGTGATACCTGCAAGTTAAGAGAGTATGGGGCTCCTATTCATTCTCACACACTCAAGGGGTGCTGGGCCAGCCATATAACTCCATGGGGGGCCAGGAACAGACTTGGATCCAATCTCTGAGGTCCTCTCTGAAGGCCTGGGTGGCCCCCATGCCACTGGAGATGGGCCATGGAGGACAGCCTTGGGCTCTCTCCCGCCAGTCCCAGTCCCATTCCCCACCCACTCCCAGTGTCTGGGCCACTGGGGCCTCTTTGGGACCCACCCTGCTCAATCTTCCAGTCCTCTTTCTCCGAGGAAGGGCCAGCTCTCTCCTAACATGGTGAGACGTGGGTAGGGGCTTGGGCAGTTCGGGTCTGCAGGTTGAGGCGGGCAGGAAGCCCCATACCCTGGCCATATCACCTCTCAGAGAGGTATCCAAGGCAATTTATCATGTTTCTCAAAATTCTCCCAACCCCTGCCCATTTCCAAATTCTAATCCCAAAGCCATTTTCATTTGTAGGTGTTTGTTATGGAGCACTCCAGCCACCAAAGTGCCTTTAAAACAACACAAATTTATCATAATTCTGGAAGTCAGAAGTCCAAAATCGGTTTCACTGGGCTTAAAACCAAGGTATTGGCAGGACTGCATTCTTTCTTGAGGTTCTAGGGCAGAAGAGGCTGTCTGCATGCCTTGGCACATGGCTCTTCCTCCAGCAATTGCATCACTTTGACCTTTGCTTCCTTTGTCACATCTCTCACTAACACTCCTGCCTCCTTCTCATAAAGACCCTTGCAGTTACACTGAGCTTACCTGAATAATCCTGGATAATCTTTCCATCTCAAAATCCTTAATCACATCTGCAAAGTCCTTTTTGCTGTGTAAGGTAACATGGTCACAGGTTTAGGTGATTAGGACATGGCCACCTTTGGGGGCCATTATTCTGTCTACAAGAGAAGGAGGAGTGGGAGTTACTTTGCCAGCCCCTAGTCCAGTCCAGGAGGCCTGAGGGGTCACTGGGGGGGAATCAGGCTGCTATCTTAGCCAACACCCTGGCTGAGGGCTGGCTGGGGCCAAGAGCTCCAGGAAACCTGGTGCCTCCACCTGCTGCTGCCAAGGACGGCCTGTTCTCCTGGCGTGGTTGCTGTGTAGGGATCAGGTGCACTTGAGCCCTCAAAGCACCCATAGCTCAACTTGAACAGCTGCCTGGCCCAGGCAGGAAGCCAGCCCTCATGGCTTCCTCTCTCCTGACCAGAATACGTGGGCCATCAGGTCAGATGTGGGTCACATGGGAAGTCCCAACACTAGTCTAGAAAATGCATACACTGTCTGGTAGACATCTACTGAACTGGGTGTACCAGGCCCACTAGGGGCCCCAGAGAGATGAGGGGGATGGGAAGACTTCTGAATGCATGGGACAGAATGTCATTGGTGCCGGCAGAGCTATGGGCTAGGGGATGCAGGGAGAACACAAGGTCAGAGCAGGTATCCAAAAGGAGATAGCACTTGTGTTGGAGTTTGGAGGAGGGGATGATTTGGACTGGCAGTGGTGGGCCAGGGCATTCTTGATGGATGCACTGCCCAGGCAAAGGGAAGGTGTGTTCAGGGAGTCAAGGCTACTGCAGGGAGGCTGAAGTCCTGGGCAAGTGGAAAAAGAATCTGAAGATGGATCGAGAAAGACATGCTGGTCTGCAGAGGTCAAAGGGTTTCCCACCTCAAGCCAGTTTTCAAACCTTGTCAGCAGTGGAACCCTTTCTTCTGATGGCAGCTTACACAGAGCACTGGCGGGGCCTTGGGAGGGGTCCCCAAGGCCTTTCCCACAGCTGTCCGCCTCCCCCTTCAGAATTGGATTCTGTAGGACACAGAGACTACACTGTCATGGGGAGCCAGCCAAGGGTTTAGGACAGGAATTGGGAGCAGTTGATGGCCCAGGGTCCAGGTGGGGGTAGGAGAGCAGAAAAGGGTAAGTTTCTTGGAGTTAGGGACTTGGGGGGCACATTTCAATAAAGCAGCTAGATGAGCCCTGCGGGAAGCTAGGAAAAGCATCCAACTGTGAGGCAAGTCTCAGTGTCCCTAACTGTCAGAGGAAGGGACAGAATTACTTTCCCTGAGTACATCAAACAGCTACCCCTACACCCTTGCCCATGATCTGGGCTCTGGCTGAAGGAAGCTGGGTGGGTAGCAGACACGTCCCTCAAGGCCTCAGGGGCCTGCAGAGCCTGGACTCTACCATCAGCTCCACGTCTTCCTCCCCTTCTGCCTGCAAGGGCTCCCTGACATGTACCAGAGGAGGCAGCTCTGTCTCTGGCTCTGGCCTCGGGAGCAAAGGAGGGGATAGGGCAGGTGAGCCTGGCTTTCCCTAAGCTAGAGCCACTGGCTACCCTGGCTGGGCCTTAGTGCACTCAAGCCCTGGTGAGGCGGGACTGAGGGGAGATGGGGGCTGCCAGGCTACCAGCCTCTTGGCTCCCACTCCAGAGGGCAGAGAGGAGTCAAGAGCCCAAGACCGAAATCCTGCCTTCCCTCCTTTCCACACTGCCCAGTGTCTCTGCCTGCCTTATGTTGGTGTCAAGCACCAGATGGACATATGAGGGTACAGGGCCCTCCCTCCCCATGTCCTCCCTCTGAGGTAGGCAAAGAAAACACCCACAATGTGCTAAGAAAGGCACATCCCACAGGCTCCTCATAACCATCCTATAAAATAAAGCACTTTTTCCCATTTCTCAGTCTCGGAGCCAAGGCTGAGTGATGTGAATTCATCTGCCCAAGGTCACATCCTTGTAAGGGAAAGACCCTGGGATCTAAATTCAGGCTGGTGTGTCTCCAGCATCAGGGCTCAATGTCCGGGGCCCAATCAATTCAGCGACTGCAGGCTTGAGGCCCCACCCTGACAGTCCACTTGGCTTGGATCTTTTTCCCAGCAGAGTCAAGTCCCACATTTGTCTGGGCAGGAAGTTGTCCCCAAGGGTGGCTCCTGCTCCAGTGACCCCAGCTGCTCCTACAGTCACTCTCCATCACTGCACTCTCTTGGAGTGCCATGCCCACATGCTCGCCAAGGCCTTCCCTCAGTAACGGGCCTGAGACTAGGAGGTTGAGACCACCAGGGAAGCCAGCACTGGCTGAGATGTGGCCCAGGCTGTGGGACAAAGAGGGCACAGACTGCTAGGAGGTCAGGGCAGCTGCCTTGAGATGCTGCCGAAGACAGAGAGAGCCAAAGGGAACAGGCAGGAGGAAAGAAAGGGCGATATTGATGAGGAGGTGACAGGCAAAGGTCTGAGAGCACAGGGGCTCAGGAAGTGGGGAGCCTTGCTCTCGTCATGCCCCACCCTGCCCTCCCAGGTTCCTTCTAGAGCAGCCATGGGCTTCCCCTCACATGAAGCCAAGGCAGCTCAGGATCCACACAGCTGGGGCTGGGCATGGGGCAGGACACGAGGGCCCTGGGAGCTATAGCCTGGCCTCTGCCAAGGAAAACGTACCCTGCCCCAGCCACAGTGGGGGGCAACACTCAGGCCAGGGATGACTCCCTCCCAAAGGCAAGGACCTTACTGTCTCCACTTGGCCAATTCGTATCATGAAATCTCAGGCAGGCCATGTCTTCCTTTGCATCTTGGTCTCCCCGACTGGAGAGTGGGCATTCCAACGTCAGCATGCATACTCCACTTGGCTGACGACGAGTAAAATGAGGCTGCCACTCTGTGTTGGTCTTGGACTCAGAAGAGCCAGCTTCTCATAGGGAAAGGAGCTGCCTCAAAGTCCCACTGCAAGACACAGCCCTGGAACTCAGCTCTCCTGGTTCTAGCAGAGGATGCTGCCCACCAGACCACACTGCCTCTGGCTACTGCAACTTGGGTCAGGCCCTTGAATGTGCTGGGGCAGCAGGGGGAAGTCTGGAGAATGAGCCAGCCTGGTTTGCCATGCTCCTTAGGAACCCCCTGAGGCAGGCTCATACCAGCACCTGCTAACCGAGAGGTTTCCTGCCGCTGTTGACAGGAGGGCTGAATCTTCAGGCCTCCCAGTAGCCATGAGTGTGCACAGACCAGAGCCCAGAGCTGGGGTAGAGGTCACAACCCTGTGCCTACTGTCTTGGCTTCTTACTCTTCCCAGCCCCAACCAGGGACAGATGAGTTATTTGAAACCCCAAGGTCAATTCAGAAGGGATGTTTTAGATAAAAGCTATGTGACTAAAAAGTAAACACAAGTCCTGCACAACCCCAGAACTGTGTGGTAAGGACCCTTAGCCTCATTCCCTCCAGGAAGCAGGCAGTGATCCCTAAGCTAAAGCTCAGATGAGGTTCCTGTGGCCAGAGCCCAGGTCTGGTGAGGAGAGTGTGTGCAAAGTGTACCCAGGGCAGTGGAGGACTAAGGCGACCCTTGGGAGTGAGCCAGTCCCCATAGTGTCCCAGGCCAGGAATGAGTGCCCACGTGCCATCCTCCACGTAGCACCTCTACACCCTCTGCCATGCAGGGGACTGACAGCCAGTTCTCCTTCCTTCCAGAAGGAAGCTCCCACCCCCAGCACCACTTAGGGGTAAGGGGTCAGGGGACCCACAAATCATGGCAACAAAAACAATAGTTCACCATTTGTCAGTTTTCTGATACTTTACTGGCCTGTGTCCTAATATCCATAGCAATTTCACCAACAGACACCCTGAGCAACCTGCCCTTGGCCTCACTGATGTGATGGAGCCAGACTGGGAACCTGGGTCTGCCCAGCTCCTGAGCCACACTGTGGATGTCCCTGCTCTTTGCCACCTCAGGAAGGACACCCCCACCCTTGTTTCTACCCTTAAGTGTCCCAGAAATGTAGAACATGGGGAATAACAAAACCACGGGAAATGCCATAAGCACCTGGAAAGCACCATCCACCTCCCTCCGAGCAGCAGTCCCAGAAGGGTCAGCCAGGCCCTCGGGCAGGCTGGGCCCCTGGCCAGGCCGACAGAACAGCCACGCTATGGCCCAGATCGCTCGATATGCAGGAACCGGGGCCTGAGGAGACAGGGACAAGGGGTTGGTTACTTTCCGGGCTCCAAGGAATGAGCAGCAAGAACACACTCTCCCCACAGCTGGGACTGTGGATGGCCCCGGTGGAAAGACCAGTGTGGCTATGGGGGATGAGTAGGGACAGAGCCTCACTTCCCACAGAAGTCCCTGCGCACGGCCACAAGATGGAGGTATAGGTCAGGATGGCTCTGAAGCCAGCTGCTGACAAGCTCTGGGTGCCTCGGATCCACTTCCAAGTAGATGCTTCTACACCGGGGGAAAAATGGGTTAGCTCAGGCAGACAGGGCTGGGACCCGTGCTTCTGGGTTGCCTGGGTCAGGCGGGGGCAGAATGACTGCCAGGGCATGCCCAGTACACACTGGGAATGGAGGAGGCTGCTGCGGACAGACCCAGGAGACCTGTCCCATCCATACCCACAGTCCTTCAGGAGCTGGGGTGCCAGGGCCAGGATGTGAGTAATGACGTCCATGCCCTCTTCCCCACCGTCCAGGGCCACTGGGTCTTCGTAGCTGAATGGGAAAAAAGGGGGAGGTGAGAGCTTGAGGGAGGGGATGTCTGAAAAGTATAGAGGAGCTGGGGAGGGCATCCTCAAAGGGGGGCCTCTGAAACTACACTCAGGGCTGAGAGGCAAGTCAGAGGAGATGGCCCCCAAATGGATGGCAGCTCCTACTCCCCAACCTCCTGCGGGCAGCACCCCACAGGCACTGCCAGGCATGTTTGCTAAATCCTACTGACTGACAGCTCCAGGGCATGAGAGTCTCCTCACAGCAAGGCTGCTTGGCTGCTCCTGTTCTTGGCCTGGGAGGTCTGGAGCTAGCCCTGACTACTCCTGAGAGCCTGGAAAGAGACAGCCAGCACCCCAACCCATGCTACTGTTGTCCCACCCAGGGGCTCCTGGGCTATCCCTGTTCTTCAGTCCCTGTGTAAGAGCAGGATGGCTTGGTGCAAAGCCTGGAGTAGGATTTTAGTCCCAGCTTTTCTGCTAAGGCATCATGTGACATTAGACAAGACGCCTTCCCTCTCTGGGCCTCAGTCTTCCATAAAATGATGCACCCATGTACTGAGCACCTGCTATGAGCCCTCCACTGTGTCCGATGCTTTTGAGTCATCATTGAGTCCTCCCTAAGGCCCCTGAGTCCTCTGTAAGGTCTATTTTCAGGGGCAGGAAACAGGCTCAGAGAAGTCCAGTGGCTGTCTGCTGTCTCAAGTGGGAAGGCAGAAGCTGTGAACCCAGGTAGGATTGTGGTCTCCGGAGTGCACCCTCTCAACACCACTGCCCACTTCCACACCCACCCCCATCCTTCCAGATGGTATGGTCCTTAAGGGCACACCAATCCCATTAGGCCTTCTCAGGCCTGGCCTCCTGGTCCCACCCCACCCAGCACCTGCGGATCTCGGGGGCCAGCTGCTCCATGTCCTGGTGGAAGACGTAGGGAGGGTTGCTGATGATCAGGTCCACAGGGCCCCAGGGCAAAAGGTGTGTCCAACTCCCTTCTGTGGTCAAAGAAGGGGACACACAACAAGGACTGGCCCATTGAGAAGTAAAGGGTGGTGGCTCCACCTACCACCATGTCCCTTGGGTAATCCCTCCCTACAAGCCACACCTTGGGCTTGTCTCTGAACCAGAGACAGACTTGCCAACTAGTGCCCAGGGTCCCCAGCCAGCAGCCTGGCCTGTAGTGTACATGCTCTGACATGGCAGCCCTTCACCTAGAATGTCCTTGCCCGCTCTTCTTCCTGTCAAAAACCTCCTTGTTGTGCCACTTCCAGAAAGCCCTCCTGGGCAAAGCAAGAGCCTTCCTCCTCTGCAGCTCCACTCGCCTTGCCACACTCTGCCTCACAGCCAACATGGACCGAGAGTATGTGGAGGGCAGGCCTGGTTTCAGTCAGCTGACTCCTGATGGCTCTGATTACTGGTTCCGGCCTGTGCCAGGTGGTAGGTACACCAGGTGTATGACACTCCATGGAGGGGCACATGAAGCTCATGGATCTCATGGGTGAAGTGACGGAGCTAGAACTGGAGCTAGAAACCTGAGGACACTGTAAAGGCTGCAGCAGAGCCGTGCAGTGCCCAGGTCTCTTCTTCCCAGGCCAGGCAGGGCCGGGGAGGGCATTAAAGTATTTCAGTCCTAAAAGCTTTTTTATGCTTCTGTTTATCTCTTGTCAATAATCAAGCCCTTAAACTAATGTTATGGGGGATCCAGAGGGTCTCTGTGGTTGGTCCCCTCATGGGTCAGGTCAGCCCAGGGGGCAACAGCAGCTTGTCTGTCCTCAGCAAGGACTGGTCTGAGCCGCTGTGTCTGTCTGCTGGGGAAGCCCTCCCTCCCTCTCCATGGAGAGCCTTGTCCACTGGCAGCACTTGTATCCAGGATCCCTACCTCAGGGAACATGGGTGAGGGAGGATACCTAAGGTCACATCGAGGGGGACGATCCAAATTCTGTCCTGCAACTGAAGCCTGGAGAGAAGGGAAGGTGGCAGTGAGCATGTGGGGTAGACCCCTACCCATGGCTACAAGGAAGGGGAGCAATCGAGAATGTTTCTTGGAGTGGCAAGATACCCAGTGCTTTTCATAACCCTGTGGGACCCACGCCAGGCTGCGCCATTGTCTCCCCTCTCTTGGGAGTAGAAATCAGACATTGGTGGGTTTGATACCTAAACAAGCGGTTGAGATCAGGCCCCGAAGTCCGACTCCCCCATGCTGGCTCTCTGGTTCTCCCACCTACCTCTGAGCATTCTCACATGTCAGAGAGATGGCGGCCGCCTCCTTATCCACAGCAATGACTCGGCTCTGTTCCAAGAACAAATGAAGGGTATGTGGGAGACAAAGTGTTGGGAGATTCCAGACCTAGGGACCTTCTTCCAACTCCCCACCAGAAGAGGATGGAAATACCCAAAAGCTTTTTCCTCTCTGTGGCCAGGGATGGGAACCAGACAGATGGGAATGGGAGTTAGAGTCTGTGACCACGGTGGGCTGGGGACAGCCCTGTCCTCCCTTGTCTGGTTGCTTCCCTTCAAGTGCTTCTAGCAGAGGGATGTAGGGGAAGGACCAATGGAAGGGACAGTGAGTGTCAGTCACAGTCTACCCAGAGTAGGGTGGAGGTGGCTCACCTGGGGAAGCTTGCTCAGCAGGCCAAGGGAGATAGCTCCTGATCCACAGCCCACCTCTAGAATGAGGGGGCCTCCCTGGGCTCCCACTGCATGGGATCTCTGGGCTACCTCCTCCAGCAGCCATTCAACCAGCTCCTGTGAGGGAGAGGGGTCTGGATCAGAGTTGGTGCTAACCTGGCCCCTGTGGGTCTTGGCAGAGAGGCCCAAGCAGTTAGCCCTGGTGTGAATAAATGTAGGAAAGGGAGGTGACCAAAGCCAGATTGACCTTCATGTCAGCTGGGGCCATGAGTAGGTCACCCTGCCTCTCCATGCCTCAGTTTCCCCATCTGCAAAATTGACCACAGTTGAGGATAACAAACAGAACCACATTTATGAAGCACCTATCCCATACCTACTGGACAGGAAGTATTCAATAATTCCCAGCTAAGCCCCTTATAGACATGTGTCCTCCCATTTTGTGCTCACAGAAATGCTATGAACCCTGATAGTTCCTGGTCACCCCTCCTGTGCCTAGCCCTGCTCCCAGAGCTTTCCCTGTAATAACCTGATGGATTCTCACAACTGGTCATGAGGAAACTGAGGCCCCGGTGTCAAGGTTCACCTTGAGCCTGGTCTGTGGCTCATGGTGACCAAAAATCAAGGGCCAGTGCGTCCCCAGCTTCCTCAAGCTGAGCTTGAGAGGCCCCAAGGAAGCTCCTAGGCAAAAGGGACAGGGAATTCCTTTCTTTGGCAGGGCGTTGGCAAGGAGCTGTGGCACACACAGGTCAGGGGGTAAACGGGCATGGGTGTGGTGGCAGTGCCTAACTGCACTGTACCTGCCTTAGCGGGAGGATGACATGTTCAGACACTGTTACTTTGGAAACAAGAGGATTTCAAGTCTCACCCACCCATCTGCTGCCTGCAGGGACTGTGCATTGAAGCCAACATAGGGTAGGGGTGAGGGGTGGAGGGCTGCTGCTCTCCAATGGACAAAATGTTCCTAACCAGCAGTGGAGTGGGGTGCCAAGTAGCCAGGTGTGGAGCAGGGAAAGGACAGTGCGGCCTCTTCTCAAAGGCATGCCTTTGGACTTGGGCAGAGGCACTACCCAGAGGCTCAGGACTCCCGGGATCACAGCTCCTAGGCAGGATTGGTTCAGGGAATTGGGTGGGGGGACAGCAAGTGGGTGACTTCTCTCATCTGAAAAGAGGCCCACCTTCTCCAGAAAGCCTTCCTCAAGCCCTGGCCACGCTCTCTCTATCACAGCTTTTCCCACCCTGAGTCTAAGGTCTAGGATGAAGTTTGCCTCTTCCATCAGACTCCAGGATGGGAAGACCTGGGGTCCGACCCATTGTAGTGTGCCCCAAACTGTCAGGGCTTGGCCTACAGAGGGGCCTCTTGGCTACTTTCCAAGTGCTGGGTAAGCGCTCTGTGTCCTAGAAGCTACCCTCTGAGTTTCACACTCCTAAGTCCCCCCAAACCTCCAACGCCATCAGCCAGGCCCAATGGAGCAGAGGGCTCCAGATCACTCAGACCCATTTTCCACAAAAGCTCCCCAGTGCCGAGTTCCAAAATACATCTCATCATTCTGGGCCCCACAATCCCAGTAGTAAATTTCATCTACCCCAAGGGTAGCAAGTTCAAGGCAAGCAGAACTTGGCCAGCAGGACCAACCCTCCCTGTTCCCAGCCCCTTCAGCACCAAACAAGCTACTGTCTATGGGTGAGGGAGTCCAGCTCCAGCAGGAAGGTTTCCATTCACTTACTCCCACCAGCTCTGGGCCAGGCACTACTGGAGACCGTCAGATACTTGTAGCAAGCTGGGCCTGCAGGGTTGGGACTGGCACAGAGTTTAGGGCTGCGGCTGAGAGCCTGTGGTCTCAGTGGTGAGGCCGGCAGGGTGACCAGGACTTGTCAGGGGTGTGAGCCTCCCTTGGTTTTCTGGTCATAGACAGACCTACTCTGGCTGGAGAATGACCCCTCAGCCAGCCACCTCACAGATAGCCACAACCTCAGAGACACACACCACATAAGTAAATGACCACCTTGGGCAAGGTGTGAAGCTGAGAGACTGGGGCCCCACCACCACCAGTAGCCTCTTGCTTTCCCTTACACTCCAGACCACAGGAGGCTCATCTTGGTTGTGGGACCAAGAGCGGGGTGTGGCAGGGTGGAGAACACCCCAAGAAGTCCAGAAACTTTCTCTTCCTCACCCAGTGAAGAGCCTCCCTCAGTCTGATGCTGGTGGCTCTTTGGGGAGACTGAAAGCCAAGCTGGTCACAGGGCTAGGATACCTCCTCTGGGTGAACATGGGAAGAATCCAAGAACAGGCTGGGGCGAAAGGGCAGAGGCATGTGGGAAGGAGGCAGGGGGCAGGCAGTTGTTGTCTCTGCCTGGAGCCATTGCCCCACATGGACGCCATACTCCCTCAAGAGTTGGCCCAAGGCCTCAGCAGGACCTGAGTGTTACAAGCAACCTCTATTAGGATCACATCCCTCGTGGGGCAACCCCAGGGAGAGGGCACTGCCTCCCCAAGCTGATGACAGATGAAGCCCTAAGCCTCCCACATCCTACACAGCCTCACCACCAGGCTGGGTGGGAACAGCTCACGCCCCCAGCCTTGAGTTTCCTACTGTACATACTGCCAAGCTGCAGCCTGAGCCACCTTCTCGCCCCCAGGGAAAATCCAACTCATTGGGCCACATGCTGCCTACAGCTTTGTACTTCAGACTCCTGCACCTATCATCAGAAACCACCCTTGCATGGCTAGAGAGAATGAAGGTACCATGATCCCTCCCCTGCACCCATTCTTCCTACTCCCTGCCACAGGCCACGTCCTCTTGAATTCTTGGTAAGGCATCCCCCAGTGTGGCTTCACATTGGGGTGAACCTGTTGAGTTCTCAGAAATGTCTGTACAGTGAGGCGAGGATCTGGCCTCCAATCACAGGGCCCCCGCCCCTCCCCCTTGCAGTGGATCTGCTCTGCTGGCCAGGAAGGGGGGGCCACATGGGAACCAGAAGTCCACACTTGACACTCAGAACTCCAGAGTACATGGCTACTGCCAGGTCAGCTCTGAGGGAACCTGAAGGTCACCACGATAGCTGCCCTGACCCTGGGCAGCTTCAGGAGATGGCAAGTAACTTCCTGGCCAGAGGTTGCATGTTTGGGGGAGTCATAGGATAGCTTTCCAAAACCCTGCAGGTGGCAGGCCACATCTTTTTCTAGGTCTCTGTAACTCATCCCAAGACATGCTAATCCCAGACAGAGCAGTCCCATGTGAGGTGTGGGGCTTTGACCTAGGAGTCAGGAAGTCCAAGTGCTCCCTGCATGCTCCCCTCCTTGACGGCCTGTGAATCAGCAAGGCCTCAGATTCCCTACTGTCTCTGCCCTGACACTAGGCAATTAGGCAAGGACCTGGCCTCCCAACCACATGATGTGGGGGTGAGAGGGTTCAGAGGTTTTGTTGGCTAGGGGACAGAGGCTAGGAGAGTGAGGAGGGGCTCTGGGCCCCTGGCTGGGGCAGGTGGATGGAGCCTGCCCTTTCCCAGGAATGTCTATGTGCCTGCCTAGGTGTCTTTCTAGAAACACTCCTTCTCAGAACCTCGTGCCCTCTGGCTTGCCCACTATCTTCTAACTAGCCTCATCCCTGGTCTGCCCTCTCTGGCTCACAGCTCTGCCACCTACAAGATCAGGGGAAAGTCCAAGAAGGGCCATAGAAAGCATGTTTTCCAGGATCAGGGTGCCTCACCATGGGACAGCATACTTGAGCCACACATCCCTAGTCCTAGCAGGGACTGACATAGGCAATTATCTGACCAGACAGCAGACTTAAGAGGATCAGCAAGTCACAGATTCCCTGCAGTGGGGCCCAATCCTCTCATCATCTGGGCCTAGAGAGGTCACACCAGGTGATACCAGGTCTCTAGATACCCAGCTGGAAGGAATCCTCTCTACTTCCTTCATGCTTCCCGAAAAACTTCTGGAGGGCTTTTGTTTCCTGTGGGTTGGGTGGGCCACAGGCCTGCAAGAGAGCTCCTAGGGAAATAGCAAAAATAGGCTGAGCACTTGGGGCTCATTTGAGGCACTCTTGGCCACTGCCAGCCCTAGAAGCTGGGGTGATGGCTTGAGACATGACAGCTGAGAGGGCCAACAGAAGTCCTCCATCCTACTGGCCCCACAAACTCAGTCAACCAGGGGATAGGTCTGGAAGAGCATGGCCCCTGAGGATAGCAGTCATGGAGCCCTAGTGCCCCCTGGAGGTAGTCTAGGGCAAGTTAGCTACCCTGAACCTCACCCTCATCCCCTATCCTGCCCCACCCTGCCCTGGTGGCACACTCACCTCCGTCTCTGGCCGAGGAATGAACACTGGAGGCACCATCTTCAGATTGAGCCCCCGAAAGTCCCACTCCCCAAGGATGTACTGCAAAGGCATCCTACAGAGGGAACAGTCAGGTGGTCATCAGTGCCAGAGTCTGGACCAGTAGAACCATGCCTGAGTTGAGAGATAACACTTGTGGTCAAAGGTGTTAGGCAAGCCCATGTCTCCTGTGCTCTGGATTTCTGGGCCAAAATCCTCTCTCCCTCCCTTCTTGCTATTTACTACCCTGGACCCCTCCTGCCACACCCTCACCCCAACACCTCCCTAGTCCTTGGACATCTTCCTCTTCCCTGAACTTGGGGAACCACTGCTCCCCACAGAACGCTCAGGTCTGACCTGTGGGTGCTTACCTCTGCAATCGGTGGCTACTCAGCTCTTGGATGCACTTTAGTTGCTGCGGGGTCAGGGGCTGGGTCCTAAGTACTGGCCTCAGGCTCTGAAACTGTCCCCATAGAGAATGTGAGTGGCTGGCTCTCAGGGGCCCCAACCTAAGTTTCTTATGTGGACAATGCATGTGGGCCTAGCACTGGTCTGGAGGCCCAGCTCTCTCATCTGGGTCCAAAGGGAGCAAGTTCCTGCCCGAGGTCACACAGTTGATATCGAGCCTCCTGGTGTCTATCCCTGAACCCCTAGTGCCTGGCACATGCTGTAATAGTTTGTTGGATGAATGAATAAGTATCTACTTAAGACATTTCTTCAGAAAAATCCCATTAGTTTCAGCTAAGTACTCTGGAGGCAGAAAAGCCTTGATGTCTCTTCCCCAAGGTCCTCCCTCCTCCCTCTTCCTGCCCTCCCGACAACACTGAACTTAACTGTTTTGGCTCCAAGGACATGAGCCACGATGTACTCACTGGATTCCCGGGCCTCAGGGATACCTCTCTTTTCAAAGACTCCAGTCCAGTGACTGACCAGTTCTGTGGCACTTGACAGCCCAGCCAGAGGCGAATGGGGTTGCCATGAGCTGAAGGCCCAGCCCCAGGTGCCTCCCCTCCTCCCTGGGCCAGAAAGGAGTGTCCACAGCATTCGGCCCCAAAGCTCCATGTCTTGGGGAAAGGCTCTGCAGAGTACTCTGCAGGTTCCCAAGTCTCCCTTATGATGTCAGCTGCTGAGGCTGGTGCTGAGAGTGGTCCCTGGCCCTAGCTGGATGGAGATGGAGAGGTCACAGGGCTCTAATGGCTCTTATCCTTAGCTGTGGTTGTCACCCTGGGGGAGGGAAGAGGAGAGCAGTTGAACCTTGTGTGATACCAGCCCCCCACTTCCACCAATCCGCTGCGTGAGAAAGGGCATGCTCTTGTTCTGTCACTCCCTTGACTCCATTTATACCCTCACCCATCTTTTTTGATTCGTCTTGTCTTGACTAGTTATGTTTTCTTCACTTTTTAGCAGGCATAGGCTGAGCCAGTAGCTCGGTCTCTGCTAACAGGCTGGTGGTACGTCAGGGCACAGGTCTGGGGGTAGGACAGATCTGTGTTTGATCCAATGTGTGCGACCTTAGGCAACTCATTATTTCTGAATTTGTTTCCTCATTCATAAAATGGGGGAATCACACCACCCCATTGCAAACAGTGCATTAGTCAATGAGTATCAAGGGCCTGGGAGCTGGCTCAACAGACAACAGGGACTCCATATTACATGCTCTTAAATAACATTACAAGGGGCAGGAGATTGCCTTTGTTTGGGAGCTTTGCTTCTGACATTTTCCATGTATTGTAATTGATTTGTATGTTGAAAATTTCCCCCCATTTAACCCCTAATTCCATCCATCAGCATAAATTGCCAGCTAAAACACTGACAATTTTATATTTAAACTGTCGCACATGAGTTTAACTTCAAGCTTTAAAATTAGTGTTCCCCTTTACTTCCAGACAAAGGTTCAGACTAGCATTTATTGAGCACCTGATAAGTGCCACATCTTCAGAGACAAGTAGGCTCCAAAAGGGTCACAGCTAGAAACCGTCCCAGGCAGCCAAACCCAGGTGTGCCATACACACAGACGGTTCTGTGCACCTGTGAGCGGTCCCAGGAGGAGCTGAGGCCTGAAGTTGGGGGAACACAAACTCCCTACCAGCGACGCAGGGCATAGTTAACGACCAAGGCAAAGCCCCTTCCCTCCGAGCCTGTTTCCCCATCTGCTTTACCAGGATTGGGGCCGGCTAGGTCTCGAGGGTGTTGTAGTCCAGGCGCTCCCATCCCGATCCCCACCTCTAACGCATACCTGCCTGATGGACTGCCCTACCAGCCCACCGGCCCGGAGAAACAGCCCAGAGCTAGGTTCCCGGACGTGCGTAGCCCGCAGAGCGCTCCCTCGGAAGCACCTCTTCCGGGACCGGCGCACCTGAGAAAGAGCTCGAGCAGACGCTGTAGCCCAACTCCGTAGTTCCTAACACCGTTGGGTTCCTCCCAGGAGACCCCTGCAGGGCGGGTGGGGCGGCTGTGAATTCCACGCCCACTATGCGTGCAGGCCCACTGGCGGGGAAGCGCGGGGATATGTGTGGCGTTGCCCCCTGGGGGCCTGAACCAGCCAGTCTTCCTTAAGGTTACGGCACTATATCACTTTCGCACACGGTGAATGCTCGGAGCTGGCCTTTAGGGACCCAGCTCGGGCGGTGCGTAGGCGGAGCCAAATAGCCCGCCCGATTGGGGGCGTCACCAGCGGGACTAGGGCTTGAGGGCGGGGGCCCTATGCCCGGAGGCGTGGTCTACCACAGCCTGTGGGCCGGGTCCAGCAGTGTGTGGGCGGGTTCCAATGTTGGGGGCGGGTCCAAAATTGGTGGGCGGGACCCAGTGTCCACGACCCCGCTGAGGAGAGGGCCTCTCCCGTTTAGGGCTTGAAGCAGGAAGCTAGAAACCGGACACCAGAGACCTGGGTTCGAATCCTGACTGTTGGCAACTCGTCAGGAGACTTTGTCCAGGTGGCTGGACCTCTCTGGGCCTCAGTTGCTCCTTCTATAAAATTCATGACAGTATCTTGTAAAGCGTGACTTGTCGACACGCCCCACCAAAACCTACTGTTAACTTGATCACTGTTCCCCGCCACACACAAGACAGAGTCTCGCTCTGTTGCCTGGGCTAGAGTGCCGTTGGCGTCAGCTCAGCTCACAGCAACCTCAGACTCGTGGGCTCAAGCAGTCCTTCTACCTCAGCCTCCCGAGTAGCTGGGACTACAGGCATGTGTCACCACACCCGGCTAATTTTTCTATTTTTAGTAGAGACGGGGTCTCGCTCTTGCTCAGGCTGGTCTCGAACTCCTGAGCTCGAGTGATCCTCCCACCTCGGCGTCCCAGAGTGCTAGGATTACAGGTGTGAGCCACTGAGCCTGGCCAGATCACTGTTAACTAAACTATTAAACATGCGGTTTCCTGGTCTCCTTCCAGATCCGAGGGAGCCGCGGGGATCTGCATTTGTACTAAGCTACCCTGTGATCCCCCCCACCCCCCGTAAGCTCCTTTGAAACCTGTGGATTAGAGGGTATCCGGGGCTCCTCCCCGAGATGATCACGCCATGGATGGAAGCAATTGTGAGGGATATATGCAGACTTACCTTGGTCGGGATGCCCAATAATACCACCTGGATAATAATACCATCCCGCTCCCAACTTCTCTGGACTAAAGGTGATCCATTTCTAGCCCAGGGTTGGAGTCGTTTACCAAGAGCGCTCACGCCAGAGTCCCCATCTGAGTAGGAAGCCAAGGTTCAGGGAGGGAAAGCAGCTTGTTCAAGGTCACAAAGTCTGTAAAGGGTTGAGCCAGAGTTCAACGCAGGCCCGACGCTGAGTACTCCCAGTCCAGTGCTTTCCCCAAGCCTCCTCTGGGATGCCCGTCTTTTGGGGGCATGAGTCTGTCTCTGAGCAGGTCGAGTCTGCGCTGGCCAGAGTCCTGAGTTCTGGCCCGGAAAGGGCCTGGGCACTCACGGTCACCCGCCCAACTTCGGTACAGGCCACCAAGGTGAGGGATAATCTCCAAGAACTGCGAACCGGCTCCTGGCTCCCGGCTCCCGCTGGGGGCGGAGCCAGACCCGAGCGACAGGCCAGCGGGCCAATGCTGAGCGGTCTCTATGCCTGACAGCCAATCGGGTGCTGGGGGCGCGGAGCGGTCAGGGAGGCAAGGCGCTGGAGCTTCGGGGATCCCTCGAGGTTGCTCTGCCGGGTCCCATCCCCGCCGTGGGTCAGGGACCTGCCCACCCCGGCCCAGACTGGCAGAGCTGGCACTCACGGCTGCGGGCTCTGCGCGGTAGCGGGCCTGGCCCGCGGCTTCGAGCGTGCAGGGAGGGCGGCACTCAGGTCGGACCCGCCGCCCCCCACGCCGGGCCTTGGGGTTCCCCCACCCCGGCCTCCCGCCTGTCACCACCACCCCTAGCCTCTCTGACTGAGCTCGGCGCCCTGGAGAGGATTAAGTAAGTGCTGAGGTCGCTGCTCCTGTGCAAGAATGGAGGAATCACTGGGTCGCGGAGGCGGGCGTGGGGATTGGGGCAGGGAGGATTGAGAGACCTAGTGGAGAACAGCATGCGGGTTCTCAGAGGTCGCGGTGCTGACTCCTTTCACCCCAGTTTCCTTCCCTTCCCCTCTGGACCCTGAGGCAGGCCTGGCAAATGGTCCGCAGGGCTCTTTCTCTCCTTTGGGGTGGAGTAAACAGCCTCAGAGCAAGAGTTAAGGGTCTGGCCCAAGGTCACGCCTCGGGTCAGTGGCAGAGCCAAGAAAAGAACCCAGGACTCCTGTTGTGCCCAGCCTAGCTGGAGGGAGAAGGCAAAGAGGGATGTGCCTCCTCCACCCCATGTCCCTCTGCCAGCCTTACCCCTTCCTAAGGGGCCAGCACAGGTGTGTGCACACCTCACACACACCATGCATCTGCACAGGGAGGCACCCCACATATGTACCCATGAGCCAGCACAGGAGGTATGTGTGCAGCCTGAGTTATGCTGAGTTGTTTCCCTCCTCTCCCTAGGGCTGCCCATCTGCAGCTTGGCTGGGACCTATTCCCACCCTGCTTTACCTAGGGCCTTCTGGGCTGGGCAAATTTCCCACCCTCTGTTCCCAGGGGAGGAGGGAAGGGAAGGAGAAAGCACCCAAAGTGGGAGCTCCATCCCTGCCTCTGAAGATATGCTCCCCTGCCTGTCCCCTTGACCCTAGCAGTCCAGCTCCCCTATTGGGGGCTTGGGGGTGTCCAATGACCCCAAGAGCCTACAAAGAAGCCCAGCTAGAGGACCAGAGCCTTTCTCTCCTTCCTGTCTTCTTGCCTTTCCACACCAGCCCCAACCCCTACTCTGTGCATAACAGTGGGCTGGGTCCAGGGGCTCCAGCCCACCTTTCCTGACTGGGCTGGCCAGCAGGAGAAGATCTAACATTTATTGGGCGCTTACTGTGGATGGGGCTTGTGCTGAGCTAAGTCTTTTCCAGGGACCTGTTCATTCTGACATTTCAGTAACCCTATGACCCTGTGGGGGTGTTCTTAGTAAACTCTTAGACTCAGGAAAACTGACACACAGAGAGGTGGAGTGACTTACCTGGGGTCATCCAGTTAAATAGCTGAGCTGAGATTCAAAGACAGGCCTGTCTGGCTTCCTGGGCAAGTGTTTCCCTCCAGGAAAGGAAAAAACTGTGGTATTTTTTTTCCCAAGCAGGATAAAGGATGTAGGGGGCAGGAGTGAGAAGGTGGGAGATATGGAGAGTAGGGAGAGAGGGGTGTTATTGTGCAGGGAAGGGACTTTTTCTTTCAAACCTCCCACTGCCTTTCACATCTTCCGGTATGATCACTATGATCCTCTTATCCACAAACAGAGGAGGTAGGGCTTAATTTTTGTTCCTAAAAACACATGGGAACCATAGATATATAAGCACTTGTCCCTATGTCTCCTGGCTTGCCCTTGTCCTTTTCCTCAAACGTTTATTTCCCTAGTGCTTTCAAAACCTAGAGGGACTTCATCTTACTGCCGAGCTGCTTAGCCTCATATTTTTTATTCTTTCCTTTTCTAGCACCCAGGGAGGCAGGGGGCTCCCTTTATCCAAGGAGTGGCTGTGCAGGTGGTCACTACGGGTAGTAGGAGCCACAGGCTGGGACACTCCTAATGTCAGAAGAGAGTGGGAAGGTTAACTGACCACAGGCAGTCCTCAACCAGGGCCCTCTCTGCATCAGCATGAACTTCAGGATTGCATCTGCTAGGGGCTGGTTCAGCAGCCGTCCACCCACCGCTGAGCCTGATCTGGAACCTGCCACAGATGGGCCAGCCTCTGAGACCACTACCCTCAGCCCAGAAGCCACCAGCTTGAATGACACCAGAATCCCTGATGTGGCTGGTGGTACAGCCGGCGTGGGTACCATGCTTCTGTCCCTTGGGATCATCACGGTGATTGGCCTGGCTGTGGCCATGGTGAGAACTGGGGTAGACTGAGACTGGCCTGGGAGGCTCTCAGCTGGAGAGGGTAATAAGTGTTCAGATGTATAGAGAAGCAGATCAGAAGACAATCGTCTGTTAATGACAATGCAGTCCTCCCTTCCCCCAGACATTTGTCCACTGGGGCCCAGAGACCAGAGAGGCAATTCTCCTAATTAGAAGAACCAGAAAATGTTCTGAGGAATACATAATGTTTTGAGCTGGGTTGTTTAGGTCACATAGGAGTTTGGGAGGAGGGTGCTCAAAGTGGAGGGTCCTGATGGGCAAAAGTTTGGAGGCAGGCAGGAGGTTCCGTGAGCAGCAAGCCGGACAGTGAGGCAAGTGGTTTGGGGTTGCAGTGGGAGTGGAGGCCAGAGGGTAGTTGGGATGGATTGTGGGCTACAGAGTCTGGGTGGGATGCTCTGGGCATGGCAGGCTGTTGGCAGTATTTATTTATTTATTTATTTATTTTTGAGACAGAGGCTCACTGTGTTGCCTGGGCTAGAGTGCCGTGGCATCAGCCTAGCTCACAGCAACCTCAAACTCCTGGGCTCAAGCAATCCTTCTGCCTCAGCCTCCCAAGTAGCTGGGACTACAGGCATGAGCCACCATGCCCGGCTAATTTTTTCTATATTTTTAGTTGTCCGATTAATTTCTTTCTATTTTTTTTAGTAGGCTGGTCTCAAACTCCTGAGCTCAAACAATCCGCCCGCCTCAGCCTCCCAGAGTGCTAGGATTACAGGCGTGAGCCACCGCGCCCAGCCAGCAGTATTTATTCATTCATTCACTGAACAATTATTTGCTGAGTACTTGCCTTGGACCAGGCCTTTGGGACCTGGGGAGATAAGGTCCTGCCTCATGGTTCTTACGAGGAGTGGGAGACAGACAAAAACCAAGGGTTCCAAAGGAAGCCTACAGGGACTGCCTTGGGGACTCAGGTGGGGGTGCAGGGGAGCAGGTGTGCTTTCTAGGCTGAGTGGTTGGGAACAGCTGAGGATGCAAAATTAGAGCTGGCCTCAGTGTCACAAGAAGTGGAGTGGGGGCAGCTATCAGGAGGGAGGTGAGCTGGGGAGAGGGCTGTTGCAGGTGCCTCCCAATGGTGAGTATGATGCTTCTTGATCTGGTGTCAGCCCCTGAGGATGCGGGCTGTCCCCATTAGATAATACACAGACACTCAAAATGTCACTGAGGGACCACTGGAGATTGTGCAGGCTGAGACCAGAGAGGGTAGTAGTGCACCTGAGCTTCCCCAGTGGGCCTGCCAATGGTAACATTCTGCCCACCGCTCCTTGCAGGCTCTGATGGCTGGCCTTGGGCGCAGGAGCATGTTGCTCTGACAAATAGGGCTGTGGATGGTCCTTCCACGGCCTGGTTGGAGCTGCTGTTAAACCAGGGTTGCCATATGGGCCCCACAGGCTCCGGATTGCTGCCAGGAAGCAACTGCCGGCCAGCAAGCAGGGTCAGGATGCAGCACATGCAGAGTGGGCCAGGGCCTAGGAGGCCTGCTGGGGTGAGCATGAGGCAAATGCCAGTGCTCCCCCTTGCCGCCGTGTGCTGGTTAAGCAGACTGAGGCACCTCAAGGCCAAAACAGAGCCTAGAATCTGCCCTCATTACTCTCAGCAAAAGATTTTGTCCTAGAAAACCTCCCTTACTCTTTGTTGTATAGGAACATTCAGAGGGCCGGAGTAGATTGCCTTCTCACCAAAATTGGAGAGGTAGGAAGGTTGTAGGATGAAGGCAATAGAGGGCAGGAAACACTGCTGGGCACAGGAGACAGGTCCAGAGGTATTCCCTATGTGCTGTGTCCTCTCCCCTTGTGCCAGCCCTGAGCCAGGCCACAGGGACAGGGAGGAGCAAATCTGTGCCAGGTTGTGTGCCTCACCCAGGAGGAGGAAGTGCTTGGTGTGGGCAGGATCAGTGGGGGAGGGCTTCCCGGAGGCAGTAGGGCTGCAGCCGTGGGGGCCTCCTTTCCTTGATATCTGATGCTGCCCCTTCTCTTGCAGGTTTTATACATCAGGAAGAAAAAGAGGTAATTTCCCAGCTGCCACCCCAAACTCCAGCCCCTGGACAGTGCTGGACTGGGCTTCAGGGGACGCGGGTGGAAAGAAGAAAGTGTCTATCTCCCCCACAAAGGCCCTCTCCCTGGTCAGGGAGTCAGGGCCTCTTCTGCCCACTCAGGGTTGGGGGTGACCACTTTCCTTCAGGGAGGGTTGAGGGCACCTAACTAGGACGTCACACACAGGACAAGCAGGTGTAACCCTGGATTGGGGATGGGTGGGGAAGGAGAGGGGGTGACAAGGTTGGGGTTACCCCCACCCAACTGCCCAGCCACCCTTGCCCTGCTGCCCTGAGTTGACTGCCACTGACTCCCCTCCCCCACCCCAGCTGTAGAGGCTGTGATTGCAGGAAGGTCCCAGCCTAGGCAATCTCTGTGTACCCCACTGATGACAGCTTCATGGCCCATAGCCCTACCCAGTCCCAGGAATGGGTAACTGCTCCCTCCCAGGCCACTCATCTGAGGGGTGGAGCTTGTACTGTAAGTGCAAAAATATCTGTCAATAATCCCATTTCAAGGGAAATCTTAGGACCCTAAACATGATTATGTGCTGTGGTTTAGCTGGTCAGTAGGCAGGGCCTGGAGGGCTGGTAGGAGGGGAAGAGCCTGCTCTGCCCCCAGCAGCCTCTGCCCCATCCCCAGGCTGGAGAAACTACGCCACCAGCTCATGCCCATGTACAGCTTCGACCCCACAGAGGAACAAGATGAGCTGGAGCAGGAGCTGCTGGAGCACGGGCGGGATGCTGCTTCCATGCAGGCTGCTGCTTCCGCGCAGGCCGCACAGGGCAAGGTGGGCACTGGCTGGGCTCCCCACCCCATCTTCAGCCATCATGTCTCCTCCACCCTCACCCTCCCACCTTTCTCATGTCACGTGGTCAGGTGGCAGCTATTGGGTATATGGGTTTTGTTGGGTTTACTCAGAAACTGGTTGAATTGCTCCAGGGCCACCTGCAGACACACTGCACAAAGGCAAGCCAGGGAAGCCCGGGGACCCAGCCTGACTCTGCCCAGATAGCTTTTGCTGATCTTGGGAGCCCCACAGGCATCTCTGAGCCTCAGTTTTCTCATCCATAAATAAAAATCCTAATTCTTGCCCTGTGAACCCCCACATGCTGGCTAGGAGGGTAAGGGAGGAATAATCGGGGAAATTGTTGGGGACTGGGACCCTGGATTCCTCTGCTCCCTGAGGGCCTATGGTCCTGAGTGGGTTGTGGATGGGGTCAGACTCTTGGGCAGTGGTTGCCTCCAAGTAGGCTGGTAGATTCCTAGTCACTGACAGACGCCAAGCAGGTGGAGACCCCAGCCAAACTCACCTCCTGCGTCCAAAGGGACAGGTACCTATGTGGTTATCCTGCTAGAGCCACTGGGCCACCTGACCACTTGCCACCATTCCCCAAATCCCCAAGGACCAGAGTGTCATGAGCAGGCCTGGCCCACTCCTGACCCATCCAGCCTTTTTGAGTCTCCTTAGGCTCAGGGAGAGTCAGGCTGGGAGTCTGAAGACCCCTTGGTTTTGCCTCCAGTTCTGTGTCACCTGGGTCAGGATACATTGCCCCCTTGGGATATTCAGGAAATTGCATTGAGAACCTTGGTCCACCCAGCCCCTGGAACTACTGACCATTTGACAGTTGTTTCCTATGCACCTCCCTTGTGTCAGTCCCTATGCAAGGACCTGGAGGTTCAGCTGAACACCCCCTGCTAGGAAAAGGTGACGTATACATGATTAAATCAATGCCCAGGCCCACAGTGAGTGCTGCCAAAGTGACAGGGCAAACTGGGGATGGCTGTTGCAGGGAGGAGTCATCTGAGCCAGGTCTTATTTCTAAGTTGAGCTTGCAGGGAGGGCATTCCAGGCAGAAGGCATAGCTGGTGCCAAGCACAAGCAGACTCCAGGAGTGAGGGTGGAGGTGACTGGGTCAGAGAGTGCATGGCTTTGGTCAAGGTCTCTGATGCCCCTGCCTGTCTCCCTGCAGGCCATTCTTCCCTCCCAGGGCCCACTGCAGAGGCCCAGCCGGCTGGTGTTTACTGACGTAGCCAACGCCATCCATGCGTAAGTGGCCTGAGGACAGGCCTGGACCTCTGATAGAGATACCTGCCACAGTGCCCACAAAACTTCCCACTCCCTGATTGTCAAGACCTACTCTCAGGACCTGCCCTGTCAAGATGGGAAAGGGCCAGGCCAGGCCCCAGCTATTCTGTGGACTCACGTGCTGACTCTCTAGGCTTTAAGAGAGGACCCTGGTAGTCTGGGCATCTGGCCACTGATCTCTCCTGACCTGAGGGGCCCCGCATGTGGGGCATTCCTCATGCCAGGAAGGTCAGGAGCCACTGCTGGCTTCCCTGTCACCTGTCCAGACCCCTCATATCAGGATCTGCTCCTCCACTGTTGAGGAAACTGGGGGGAGATCTGGAGTGGGAGGGGAGGGGAAGTGGGGGTTCCTTTCTGTCAAGGAGAGACCTGTTTTTTGCATTCTAGAGACTCCTCTGGGGTGGGGAGGGGCAACCACCTGAAGGCCCAGGAATGGAGCTGAAACTGCCCAGTGGGCAAGGATTCTGGCAGAAGGGCTACTCGTACTTGGGGGCCATCCGTACTAGAGGGCCCATGAGGTCTCCCAGCCACCCATCCCTCGCAGCCAGTGGTTTGTTGAGCCTGAACTAGAACGGGAGCTGAGGGGGAAGGAAGTGGGGGAACATATGTGGAGGATGCAGCCCCCAGACCTGCTGAGAGCTTCACGTGTGTACGTGAGTGTGCCCACAGGCAGACACACGCCTGTGCCAGCATGGCGGGCAAGACGGAGACCTCCTGCATTGGCTCCACTCTCCAAGTTGGCCCCACCCAGTGGAGCATCAGGGTGGGCGACCTCCTCTACGTTCAGTGTTCAGGGACTGCAGGAAGAGGGAAACAAGGCAGGGCTCCACTGTCCACTGCACTTCTTCTCTGGGCTCTAAAAGGCAGGCTGACCTGTTTGTGAAACCAGTCCCTGTCTGGGACTACATTGAGGATCTGGGGTGGGGAGAGGCTGTTGGTATGAGGGCAGTGGTCACAGGCTTCAGTCTAGTGGGGGAAGTTCTGACTGCCTGAAAGAGGGTGGAGGATTACCCCTTGGGAAAGAGACATAAGAAACCTACCCTATTTTTTAATTCCCCCACCTCCATCCCACCTATGGGAAAGTTCTCAGTGTTTATGGAGTTAGTGGGGAGGTCTTTGCACTTGGCCTCCCCATAAGCCTTGGAGGGTCAGGGCTGATGCCAGGGGCATCTGGGCAAGGCATTAGGCGGAGACGGACCCCAAGAGCTGGGCATTTCTCTATGCTAGGCATGCGCGTGCACATGAGCCTGCACAGTCATGTTCCTGGGCCTGGCCCGCCATCGCTGTCCTCCACTGGCTGGAGGGGATGCAGGAGCAGCATGTGTAGATCTTCCATTGGGCAAATACCACGTGTCGGGAGGCTGGGGCCCAGGAGGTCCCCGTGGGGAAGGTTCTGGATTTATTCCCTCCTCTAGATGCTATAAATATGTTAGCACTTAAGCCGACTGGAGGGCTGAGGGTAATTTAGGATGCAGAAATCTGTAATTGAACTCGAACCATCTCCATGTGAGAGCATTAAAGATGTAATTAAGATGTTTACACGATAAGAGTGTGAAGCTGTGACACTCAGGGCATGGAACACCAGGACAGAACAGGATGGGTGAGGGGCTGTGGGGGTCTGGGATTAGTCGCTTGGATCCCACCTACGAGGTGGCAGCCCAGCTGGTTTTCCTTGATCTGAGGAAATGCCTCTGACCCTGAGTTCAAGCTGCTCTGGGACCTTGTCCCTCAACTGTGAAATGGGGTGACAACACCTGCCGCTCCCTGGGGCAGAGAGGCCAAGCACACAGTACCTTGTGGGATCAAGGGAGGGAGGGGGCTTAAGCCCCAAGAGCCAGGGGGAAGTATGATACCTCAGCACCCATAGAAGCTGGGTCTGAAACACAAAAGGGAACAAAATGACATTATGGCCTTTTCTGGAGCACAAGGGATGGGTGGGAGATGGGAAGCCATTAGGGTTGTGTGTGTGGAACTTACCTACAGGGTTCAGAAGGGTTTAGGGGAGAATGACACTAGGGTGACCAGCTGTCCTGGATTTCCCAGAACTGTCCCAGTTTTAGCACTGAAAGTCCCACAAGCCAGGACTCTAAGTGACATCCAGACCCTCCCGCAGAAAGCTGAGCATTCAGGCTAGCATCACGTAAACAAGGAAGGTGTAAGCCCCCCAGTTCCACTGCTGGGCTGGTGGTGGGTGCTGCGTGGCAGGGCCTTAGGTAAGGCTGAGGACCAAGCACTCCACAGGCCACACGCACTGGGGTTGTGGCTGGGCCTGTCAGTGATGGCCTTGGTCTTGGGAAGGGGTCTCCTTCCCTCAGCAGGCTGGCAGGATTCCAGGGGTGATGGTGGTGGGCTGTGTCCCAGGGGGTACCCCTGTTGGGTAGCCTCGGCCCAGGAATGTGGGAGCTGCAGAAAACCCAGTGTCTGGGGATCCTGAAGAAACAGGGCCTGTGGAGTGAGGCTGGCACCCAGGGACCAGGGCCTGGAGGGGGGCTCCAGGAGGACCCTGTTCCCATTCTCTCCCCGTCTGCCCCATGCACCTTTCCTGCTGGTGATGGACACATGACAGCTGTTTCTGTGGGTACCAGGGCCGTGTCCTTACCTCTTGTGTTCTCATGGTCACCTCTCCCCTCCACCCACCTTCTTCTGCTTCCTAGCTCTATTTCCCAGTCCTACAGGAAAACCAAAACCCAGCAAGTTCCCTGGTCTTCCACAGAGTGTGGTATTGATAAATATTGGGGTGGAAGGTTCTGGTTGGCATGTCCTTGAGGCCTTGAGCCTGGTGTGCTGAGTGCGAGGGAGTTGCCTGCCTGCTTTCACTGCTGCTGAAATTGTCTGTTAAAAGGGGCCTTTTGGGAAGTGCCCCCTGCCCGACACACACACACTTGCATAAGTGAAACCTCTCCTGGTGAATAGCAACTAGGGCTCCGAGTCAGACACTGTGGCAGTTTGTGGTGGGTGGCATCAGGGTGGACACGGCTGGGCACCTTCAAAGGAGACTATCTTCTTGTTTAATAAAGTGGAGTGTCACCTTCAAGCCAAAATGAATAAAATAATCCCATTTCCTGCCTGCAGACAGACACTAGGGATGCCTTCAGAATGTAAAGGAAAGTCTTATGGGGGAGAACCTAGAAACTCCAGTAGAGCAGTATGACCTTGCTGTGGCTTCCTTCCAGAAACATTACTGAGCCTCTGTCATGAGCCTGGCACCACGGTCCCATCAGTGAACCAACCCAGACTCTGAATTTCCATTCTAGACGGAGGAGGCAGATGTTAAACAGGAAAAGAGATGTCTGTGTGCATGCACTTGTAACACACACACAATCGGTCTACGTCTTTATAACTACAGCTATGTGAAAAAGAAGGCAGCGGTGGGGTCAGGGTATGCCTGAAGGTGTCCAGAAGCTGAGGGCAGACACTCTCACCCTATCCTGTCAGCTACAGCCCTCTGAAGGCCTCAGTGTGGAGAGCCTTGGCTGAGGATATCTGGGGGAGCCCCAGGAAACGCTGTTCTGGCATCCCCATCCACCCTGGCCTCTGAGGACTCAGGACAGGGATGGGGCAACTACAGGTAATGGTGTCTCTGGTCACCCAGAGCATACTCTTGAAAGGCCAGAGATGCTGAGAAATGAGCAAAAAGGGTGCATGCATCAGGTGCAGGGGGTGGGGAGGAAGGGACAGGGAGAGCATAGAGACCCCTTAGATGGGTGGAGGGGGGTGAGACCAGAATGCCATCCCACCTGGGCCCGGGTATGTGACCTTGGTCTGCTCTCTCACTCCCTACCCACAGAGCTCCTTGACAGAGGTCCCCACCTCCCACCCCTCACCATGAGTGTTTGGCCCTGCAAGTGGAAGATCAGGGCAGGGATCAGGGCACCCGAGGGAGCTGGGGGAAGGGCAGCAAGCAGGGAGGAGCATCTGTGGGAAGAAGAGTGTGTGTGGACAAGCAGAGGGGTGGATGGGGCTGAGGCCTGTCTAGGAAGGGGTTTTCCTTTTCCCCACACCTGGCCTCAGGAAAGCAGTCTCAATCAAAGACCTTCTGCCTTGCTTCTCAGATCTCCTCTCAGCTTTGAAGGGTTCCCTCTGTTCATCTGGAAAGGTGACCCTCTGGGAACCTGGTTGGATCTACAGGTGTGATAGGCCTTGGATCCCTGTATGGGCCTGGAGGGTGGTCAGTGGAGGGAGGGAATCCCAGAATGACTGGAGGCCCCCCAGGGGCCAGAGTTTCTGTCCAAAGATGTGACTCTGAGCTTGAATCTGTGGATAGGGAGGGAGGGGGAGACACACTTTACTCTGAGGCCAGGGGCCCCATCACTGGCCTCATGCAGGGGATACCAAGGCCTTCCTTATTGAGCCAGGGCAACTTTGATCAGTGGGTCACAGCCTGGGCCAGTTTCTCACATTTATAGCAAAATCTCAGGTAGCCAAACACCCCATGTAACTTGCAAGCAAAGTGAAAATCACACAGGGGCCTCCCTGGTGTCCCCACCACCACCGCGCACAGAGTTCACAGGAGTAATCAAACACTTTCTGTGTGCCCAATAGTGTGCTTGGAGGTGACGGGGGCTTCCTGCCCTGCAGGGCCAAGTCTGCTGGCTTAGAGCAAGACTGCTGACTGAGTTGCTCTTGGTGCCTAAGAATTCCAGTCAGGAAGGGCTGCCTGAAGGGGGCAGAGGGGCAGGCACCAGCTGCCTTTGCTTTCTGCGGAACTCACTGGGTCCTGGGTTGCAAGCCAGGATGTTGCAGCTTCTGCTGCCCATTCTGTAGGTGTGGCCATGGCCATGACTGTTGTGGAAAAAGCTGTCTGGCAGCAGAACAAGAGAACCCAGTGGGAAACACTCTCTACATGTGGATTTTCCCAAGACACCCAGTAGCATTTTGCTCTTTCTCCCGGTATGCACTACAGCGTCCACTCCGGGCTGATCCTGCTGTTGCAGCAACACCAGCTTGCCCTCTCCCAGTTCAGCT